TTTTATCCTGTACGAATATCCTCATTTTAAACTCTACATTTTCCTGGAGGTACCATTTTATTTGCAACCCATACATTTGTAGAATTATATTTACATTCTGTTATTAAATATTCTGTAATTTAAAATTAGTTTTCATTCACTGAGTCCTGAATTAAGTGTGTTTTTATTTTAAAACTTATTTTTGGCCATAATTTTACATTAGTTTCTAATTCTACTGCACTGTGATCACAGACTGTAGTCTAGGTGCCGCTGGATCATTAGCATATGCTGATCCTTTGGGTTTCAGTTCATGGTCCTTTGGCATTGTTTTGTTTTTAAAGTTTTAGGAGAAGTGTATCTATTGGGGCATGTAGAATTAGTTATCTAATTGTTATAGAATTCTGCAAGGCCATTAAATCATCTGGTTTGTGGTATTCTTTGAATCTATAGCTTTTTATGTCTTTTCTTTACCTCTCAATTTATAAGAGATATAGGAAAATCTCTCACTAGAGACACATCAATTTTCTCATTCTGATGTGTTAGTTTTGTTTATTGTTATGCTTTGTTGTTATGACCTTTTAGTTTTACAAATTTAAAATCTTCCTGATATCTAGTTCTTTGTCTTATATCATGATGACTCTCTTTATCCCTAATAACTCCTTTTGAAAGACATAAAGCCTGTTTGACTGTTATTTATAGAGGTGTACCAGCTTTCTTATTAGTTTCCCTGACATATTTTTTCTCATCCCTTCATTTCCCACCCTTCTGTACCTTCATGGCTCAGCAGAGTTTTGACCACCTTTGTCAAATCTTTTATAATCCAATATAAAAATTGTGGTGACCCAATTGGTAATTTTAGTCTGTTTGCATTTTATCATGAAGACAAACAGAAGCAGAGACAGTTGGCGCTCATCAAATATGCCTTCTAGTACTCCCAGTCTCCTTTCCAGTTATTTTGGGGCATGTGGCTTATTTTGGTCAATGGACTAGGCCAAGCCACACAAGCCAACATGCTGAGAGCTGGCACGTCTCTTTCTTCTTTCCCTTTCTCTGCCAGGACAATCTTGTAGGCTACACAGTGTGGTGTAGTTGACTACAAGAGGGACAAGAGTTGTAGGACACACTTTGGGTTGTGATGTGAGACTCAAACTTATATTGTGTCCAGCCTCTGAAATTTCAGGAGTTATTTCTTGTGGTAACTAATGATAATTATTCTGACTTCTATATTTGGATAATTCTATCGTATTTTATATTTACCATGATCTGTTTGTTTTTCTATTTTTCACTTTTCATGGAATTGATTGATAATGTTCCTTCTCTTCAGACATTGTTTTTCTTTCTGCTTTTATGAAATGTGTAGCTATTTGTGATAGTTAATTATACGTGTCAGCTTGGCTAGACTATAGTACCCAGTTTGTGGTCAAACATTACTAATATAGATGCTGCTAGGAATGGATTTTTCAGATTTGATTAACTCATGAAGTCCCAAGTTTTCAATTCTGCAAATATTTCAATAAAATTGACACAGGTACATTAAAATAGGTTGGGAATCATAATCTAGAGCTTATGTATATATTATATATATATATTGTATTATAATACATTCCTTTATTATTATATAAGTTCATGTTATATAATTTTATTATATATCATATAAGTTTTTCCAGATGCTCTGTATCTGGGATAATGGGACAAAATGGGTTCAACACTTACATGAGTAGATTTTGAGTTAAGCAGTTTACTCTCCATAGTGTGGGTAATCCTAAGAGAAAACACTGAGAACCCTGAGGAAGAATAAATTCTACATGCAGACTGCCTTTAGACTCAAGATTAAAACATTAACTCTTTTCTAGGTCTCTAGCCTATTAGCTTGGCCCAAGGAGACTTGTTCCGTATTATAATTACGTGAGCCAATGCTTTTTAATATATATATATTCATGTGCCACACAGTGATGCTTTGGTCAAGGATGACTTGCATTACAATGGTGGTCCCTTAGGTTATATCAGCAGGTGATGTCATAGCTATCTTTAACCAGGTTAGTGCACTTTATGTTGTTGTAAAACAAAGAAATCACCTAACACCACACTTTCTAGAATGCTAAATGATGTGTGGCTGTGTACAACAGTTCTGTTTTCTTAGATGACTTTAATACAATTATTTTTATTCTCTTATAGAAATCCTCAATATCTAACACACAAAATTTGATATATATGAAAGGTAATCAGCTTTTACTCTCCTTCCTCAAACTGAAGGACAAAAACTTTTAACTGACCACATGCCCCATTTTCCATGTAATTAGTCTCTTGAATTTAATTTTTCGCTTTTAATTATATGTATTATTATCATCACCATGATCTTAACAATTCTGACCTAAACTTTTACACATGTACTATTTTGGGTTCATGTTTTTCTCTTTAATCCCCATGTTCTTTGATTTTGTTCACATTTCTTTTGAAGTATATTTTGTAGTATTTCAGTGAATGAAATGTGTTTTGTGGCAGTGTAGTGAATAAAGTGTATTTTGTAGTAGTTAAGTGCTTCCTATCAGTAGTTTTTTCCCTCACTGATCTGCCACATAAGAGTAAATTTTCAAAAATTCACTTTATTCTTTGGACACTTGATCCTGAAGCAAACAAACAAACAAACATAAAAACTCCTTTTGTGGTTTCTATGGATTTTTACTCATATTAGAAAATGAACCCCAAAAGTTACCTACAAGACCAGTTCAGACATTTATGAGGATACAAGTGTCAACACTTTAAGCTTACTTAACTTTTAGGTATACTCTCCTCCTGTATAATATTTTTTTCTAGGTTTTCCCCTCCCTTATTCAATCTGTATAAAGCTTACATCTTGTTTATACTGTACTATACTCACTATTTCTGTGTCTAAGACAACACATATTACTTTCACATTGCCCTCATTTTCTTTTGTATTTTATATTATTATTCTTCAAAATGCCTGGGAAAGACCTTGCCTAAGATTTTTTAGAATCATGCCTCCCAATAAATATGAGTTATTATGGCAAGAGAGAAAATCTGAATTTGGAGAATACATAGGAAGATTAAATTCTGCACAGGGCTTGTGGTCAATATTATGGTTAATTTCAGTGAGTGTCCAGATCAAACCCTAGTACTGGGAGTGTCTAGGAAGGTGTTTCTGGATGACAGTAAAACAAATGGCCCTTTCTGCTGGGGTTGTATACCATGCAGCCACTGAAACCTTTAATGGAACAAAAACTGGAGGAAGGAGGAATCTAGTACCTTCTTTCTTGCATAATAGACTGAGCTGTAACATCTTATCTCATTTTCTCTAACCTTCACACTGGGATTTACACCACTGGCTCCTTTGATTCTAAAGATTTTTAATTAGAACTGAATTATATTCCTGACTTTGCTAGATTTCCAGCTGGACAAATCTGGGGCTTCTCCACATCCAGAATCATGTGAGATAATTCTCTATCTATCTATCTATCCATCCATCTATCTATCATCGCCATCATCATCTCCTACTAGGTATGTTTCTCTGCAGGACTCTGACTGACATAGGTAGTATAAGTTCTCACTTTCTCATAGTTGTCACCAGTAAAGATCTCGTTAAGCACGGAAACAAATTGAAAAATGTAATTCAGGACTAGAGGGTATTAAGAAACACTGTGGATAGGTGTGTAAGAAAGACAGAGCCAGACAAAGGTAGAGACAGGAAGTTTCAGACAACAATAGTGGCCAGAAGATGAAGAAGGAGGAGACAATTGTGGTGGTGTGTGTCTGTAATTCCAGCAACTCTGCAGCTTAACACAGGAGGACCATGAGGTCGAGGTCAGTCTCAGCAACTTAACAAGGTCCTACGCAACTTAGTGATATCTTGCCACAAAATAAAAATTAAAGGGCTAGGGATGTAACTCAGTGACAAAGTACCTATGAGTTTAACCCCAAGCTTCTTCGCCCTCCAAAAATGAAGGAACAAAGGAAAAGAAATCATCAGTTGACATGGGTGTCACTATTATGAATAAGAAACAAATAGGATATGTGAAATTAGTTCAGCTTATTTCAGAGAAAAGAAAAGAATGTTAGTAATTGTTGATAGAATATCATGTTTTCATTATGGTCACAGGATAACATCTCTAAGATTCTGGTAATTATCTCTAATATCTCAGAGATTTGAGAAAATATTTTTTGCTCAATGCAAAATCAAATATTGATCCATTTCTTATAATACCGGGCAATTTCATAACACCATATTTCATTCATAATCAAGTATCCAATCAGCCCCCCATCCAGCAAATTTCTGATATGTTTGGAAATTTTGTATGAATGATAGGTTTGAACAATTTTAGCTAACAGCATGCTTCCTAAGTAATGTCTTTTTTATTTAAAATATCATCACCAAGTTTTATTATGCAAGTTATTTAGAAAATGTGGTTCTACATATAAAGGATAAAGATTTGTTTATATTGAAGATGCTCAAGTAATGTGATATAATTGGAACCTCAAAACTCTAAATATTAGGTATAAATGTATTTTGATCAATGGCTGCAACCAAAGCTTAAAGACCTTTTAGTTTATAAAAATTTTTATAAACATATTAAGAAGATCTGATCCAAGGTGCTTTATAAAAAGTGCACTTGATGTTCAGACTTCACATACAACTGTATTGTATGTAATTATAAGCAATGATATTAATTTTCAAGGCACTTTTTTAGTGAAAATATTTGGAATAATGGTGAGAGATTTCTCCGTCTAGAGTGTTCTATTAGCTTGTTTTTGTTTTGTGAGCTGGTGCACAAATCTGCTTGGCATTTGTGATAATTTCAAGGCCCTAACAGTGATAAGTAGTGAGTGACTGAGAAAAGATTTCTGCACACGGAAAATTTATTTTGAAGAAAACTTAAAGGAAGCCTACAAAAAAAAAAAAAATAATTCAAGACAGGAATCAAATTTACTAGGGTTTTTAGAGCTCAGTTAAATTTGAAAAAATTAAGTAACTATTCAAAAAGGCTAATGGTCCTGTTTTTTCTTACCAGTCTTGTAGCTTCTTGTGCAAGACCTTTGGCTTCTTTGGCAACTTTCTCAGCTTCATCAATATAGTCTTTAATATTGCTGTAAGCATTGAAGGCTGCAGTGGCATTGAAGGAGATGTTTTTAGCTTCATCAAGGATTCTGTTGGAATAACCCCCCACAAAAATAACATCAGAGTTGTGAGTAAGCAAATAAAGGAACATCCTGGTTATAACAATCATGGCTTCAAAATAATGATAGTAATTGTGAATTATAGTGACATATCTATTTACAGTGTTGTAGTTTTCAACTTAAATTCATATTCTTAAACAATTCAGTTATAAAACACCTCCAACATTCTTAAATATCTGCAGCATCATCCAAAGCCATATGCACCAGGTGTGTGTGTGCAGTGAGACAATCCTTCATGTTATTTATAAAGCAAACTAGAGGTTTCAGAGAACTTGCACCCCATTGCTGGAATGAGCTTCAAAAAGTCTACAAATCCTGAATGTCTTCTCTGATATAAACCGGGGTGACTCAACTTGGGGAAGAGAGGAAGAGCATGGGAAGAAGATTACTTCTATATAGGGAAGAGGGGTGGGAGGGAAAGAGAGGGAGAAATGGAATTGCATGTTTGGTGGAAGGAGACCCTCATCGTTATACAAAATACATGTATGAAGATGTGAGAAAAAAAACGAATAGCTTTACCCTAGATTAAGTAGAGAGAAGTGGTGGGAGGGGAGGGGTTGGGGAGATAGGAAGGATAGTAGAACGAAACAGACATTATTATTACTGTGTTTATATATGTGACTGCATGGCCAATGTGATTTTGCAACCTGTACACTCAGAAAAATGAGAAATTACATCCCATCTGATTCAAATGTATGATATGTCAAGATCATTGTACTGTCATGTATAACTAAGTAAAACAAATAATAAAAAAGAACACATAAATAGATTATAATTTTAAAAGAAAGAGGGAACAAAGAAAAGGGAGTGGAGAGGGAAATAGGAAGGACAGTAGGGTTAATCAGACATAACTTTCCTATACTTGTATTTAAATATAAGACCAGGTTAACTCTACATCATGTATGACCACAAAAATAAGACCCTAATTAAAATAAGTTATACTCCATGTATGTATAATATACCAAAATACATTCTACTGTCATGTATATCTAAAAAGAACAATCAAAAAACACAGAAATAACTAACAAAAATAAGAGAAAATATTGATATATTTTCTAAAAAAAGAAATCTTTCTGGGATAGGTGCATTTCCAGGGGAGAATGAAAAAAATCTCAGAAGTTTAAATGGCTTGCTTCAAGTCACATGATAGACATATCCGTAATGAGGAATCTGGACTTGAAACTTGGGTTGGCTGACTCCTGGCTCACTTTTCTATCTACAACCCTTTACTGTAAATTGGCAAAAAAAAAAAAAAGTTATATATATTTTTAAAAATTACAGTGCCTAGCATTTTCAAACAATAATATTTTCCTTTGTAATAATAAGTTCTAAGTATGGAAACATATCCTTGTGTATGGTGTACATTAAATATAGATTTATTTGGAAAAATTATTTGGGGGGCCAATAGCTCTTATATTTATTTTGTCAATCCTAAAGTGTTGGTGAAGTATGTTAGTTACACCTGGAAGGCTGTTTGCAACTTAAAAACACCCTTTTCTTCTGCCCTTCTCTCCCTGAATCATGCAACAATCCCCCTTATAGCAAGCTGTTATTTCGCAGGGTATGTAGGATCTTCCTGGAATTTGTATGAGCAAGGAAAAGGCTATGTATAGGGTTACATTTCAAAAGGCACCTTTTAACAATAATTTTTTTTGATTCCATTATGAATATAAAACTAAATTTTGAAGCAGAAAATGTTAATATATTATTATTATTTAAAATGCTAATAAGGCAACTGCTGTGCTTTCTAATAAAGAACAAAAAATAATATTCTAAGTGTAGCCTAAGGCCATGTTCTCTTCCTAATAAGTCAGGCACGAATCCACTTTTAACTTGGACTTTTGATGCTTTTCCAGTAGAGCTTTGCGTACACCCTTCTAATTAGGATGTTCCATAGAAAGGCCATGTAGCTCTTTTGTTCATAATTGTAGAAATCAAGATTTGAAAATGATTCTCTATCATTTCTGCTTGTCAAAACTTTTGGATAAGTGTCACAGTACATTGGCATTTCTAACAACAAATGACATACCCATCAAGTACAGCAGATGAGTCATTCAACTGAGCTGCGTGGCTTTCAGCCTGGGACACCTTCTCAGCAAGCTTCCTGTCCTTTATTTCTTGGGAGAGGTCATCTATTTTATCTTTAAGTTCCTCAGACATTGGTGGCAATTTAGTCTGAATGTCTTCAACATACTAATATGCAGAGAGGAGAGAAGGCATTTTAATCAAGTGAATTCAAGCCTCCTTGAATTTACTAATTTTTCCAAGAGACATAATTATACACATTTAATTTTTTATGAAACTTTAAAATATACTAGCTTAGTCAAAAGAGGAAAAAAAGCTATTATTTAATAAAAATATTAGAAACTTTATGATGCCAATTTACACCAAGAAGAATACACCTTTTAAAAAATGTTTTTCATTGGAATAAATGCATAAATGACAGTTATTAGGATCTTTTAGACCATTTTGCATTTTTATTACTATATATTACTGAGTAATGCATTAGACAGTATGTTAAAAGTCTGTTTGTAGATTTACTTTGCTCTTTTAACTAGTGCTATATAATACTGAAGCAGATTTTAAAGGCTGCCCTAGGAACAAGGAATGGCCCACATTTCACTGTGGGGAAAAAAAATAGAAACACAAGTTGTGTGATGGCATAAGCATCCATATCCATTAGGAGATAAAGCTCTAATTGTTATCAATAGGTGGTATGATCATAGTAGAACAATACAAAAATAATTTTACCTCCTTGAGAAAATAAATGTCAGTATCTGCTTATATTACTAAGATATCTCCTTGTTTCCCATTTATGAGAGGCTGCACCATAATCATCTCTCTTTTAACTTTGGATTTTATCAAAAACTCACTTCTATGACTGAGCCGATTTCATCTGCAAGTCGTTTGGCTTCATCAAGTATGTCATTGCCTTCTTTTAAAGTGTTCTCAATTTGTCTTTTGCCACTTTGAACTGCCTCCTTCTTTTCCTATAGTATGGGAAGAACAAGACATCAAAATACCATTTGGTTAAAACCCTATCCAGCTCTGCACCCCTGTCTCTCCTGAGTTGTCTGAACAAAAGCTTCACGAACAAAGCACATCGTGTTGACAACGTGACTAGATGAGAATGATACAAGCTACCTAGCTAGTCCTCTGAAAGTCTTTCTATTTAGAGCCTGAGTAGGTAATTTCTCCTTCCCATTTGAGTAAGGCATCCAAGCGAAGAAAAGAAATGAGATAGTAGTGGCTGAGGAATTAAAATTATTTTAAAAGCAAGATGAAGCATCCATATTTAACAACATTGTAAGTGCTGAATATGAACTACTGAACATGTGATAGTACACCAAATCACAGTGGAATGGCACATTGAATTCCAGAGCTATGTACACATTGAGTTCTTTGTAAGCATAAGCATAAGCAGGTTTATTCTATGGGAATTCTGTAAAATTCAAAGAAGGGAGCTTTAAAAGAGATCTTAGGGGCAATGTTTTTCAAGAAAAGAAACTATCACCTGGAAGGATAAACCTAATAGACTGTTTCATAAGAAGAGAACAGACTCTAACTTTTCTTGGGAACTTACAGCTTGTCTGAAAACTACATGAAACTCATTCTTGGTTTAGAAGAGGAAAATCAATGAGAGAAAAATACTGCCATTTCTCCAGCTGGAGCATATCTTTCCTTACCATTTTTAAAAACATACTTCTGACTCATTCATTTTCTTCCAATCACCATTTTACATTTAAGTTTAGCTGAATCAGTTAAAATTGTAAGCCAGGCCATTTATGTTTTTATATAAATAATACTAGTAGTTTATATGTATTGAAATATCAATATGTGTTAGGCAGTTTACAAGGCTTTCCCATTGAATTTCAACTCTCTGTGTCCTGTGCTTATCTTTTAAATGAGTGGAAAATTGAAAAAGTTAGGTGCTATTGTCTGAATATTTTTGTTCCTCGTAAGTCTGTAAGTGAAAATCTTAATCTCCAAGGTGTTTGTATCAGAAGGCTGGGCCTTTGGGAGGAGATTAGGTCATAAGGCAGAAAACATAAAGATGGGATAAATGCTCTTACAGATGAGACCCAAGGGAGGTTGTTAACCCTTCTATCTGTGAATGTACAGTGGAAAGACCGTTTGTGAGCTAGAAAGTAAGATCTCTCCAGACACTAATCTATCAGTACCTCAATCTTTGATTTCCAGAAATCCAGAAAAATGGACTATGAGGAATAAATATGAGAACTATGAGGAATACATCTCTTTTGTTTATAAACCACTTGGATTTTGGTATTTTGTTATAGCATCCCAAGTGGACTAAGACATTAAGTGATTTACTTAAGGGTCATGCAGTTCAGTTAGTATAGCATAAATAAATTTGAATACTGATCTATTGAATGATAGATAGATCCTGGGCCATGGGTAATGAAAGAACTCTCTCTCATTACAGAAATCACATTTCTTATTTGCACTGGGTTAGTGCTGACTTCATACCCTCCTTTCCTAGTGTCTTCCCAACACTTCAATATGGTGCCCAGTACATATATCTAGCTACCTCTGAGCCTTTGCCTTTGTACTTCTCTCTCTTGTATATTATTATCAAGTTCTCTGGCATGCTTCTTCCCTCCATTTTCTGCTTATGGTCACTTACCAACCACCTATCTAAAATAGCATGTATCTTCCTTCCAATAATTATATACAGATTAGGACACAGCGATTAAAAGAGGAATTCAAGGGACAGGCTGCTGGAATGGAATTCTAGTTCTGAATGATATGAAATCTTAAGCCTCATGTAAAATATTTAGTCCTTTGCTACACATTTACTAGTAGCCTGGGCATCACCAGGAAGCTTGTTAGAAATGCATAATCTCAATACCTTCTGGGGAACTACTGACTCGGAACCTGCATTTTAAAGAGAACCCCAAGTGATTGACATACCTAGTAAAATCTGGGAAGACTTGGCTTAAAACACTGCTTAGCACAGAGTGACACTATGTAATTGTTAACCATTGTAGTAATTACTTTATTTCATTATTCTTCCTAGCACTCAATAAGCTGAATCATATACAATAGGGTGGCCACAAACCATAGAAACGTAGACAATTATTTTAGTTTTTATGCAGAACAAAACTAGCTTGATTTCTTCTTCTGGGGTTTCTAAAAGCATAGGTTATTTAATGAACATCAGAGATAGAAATGTATCATAGATACTTATGCTGGGACTGATGAGAAGGCACAGCCTCCTGAGCTGCACATTGCAGATGAAGGATGACACATTGGAAGTGTCATGCAATATCACAGATCATATATATCCATAAACCCATGTACTACACATCATCCCACATTTCAAAACTCTATGGCCATATCACATGCTTGTTTATTGGTTTAGTGACTATCTCCCTCACTATTACAAGTCCTATAAACAAAGTCTTATTATCACTATCTCTAGTAGTTAGATGAACTTCCTCAATAAATGGTTTCAGTTAAATAAATGAAAATGAGATTTGAAACTTTGCCAGTGACATTTGCTTTTTCAACTACTCTCATCTCTGGGTAATTCAGGGTAAGTTTTGATTTTTCACCCCCTCTTCATAGACAACAAATGCAGGGGCAGTCCTTATATCCCTGATTTCCACTTATCTTTTCTTCTGAAAGTCTGACATTTGCTATATAACTATCAATTTAGTCTTCAGTTTTTAACTTCTCTAAAGTTCTACTGTGTGCAGAAAGTCAAGAATCTTTTTTTTTTTTTTTTTGGTCACAACAGTGCTTGTTTGTATTAGCGAGTCAAGGTAATTTAAAGTGCTGTACCAATGTAGGGAGAAGAATATTTTCACATGTGGTTTAAATGAAGAGCTGCACCCATTTTGGCTTAGTAAATTATGAGTTTCTTTTGTAAAACTCTAGTTGAGCAACTTTAAAGAGCCCATTGTCCTGTGAAGATCAAAATATGTTCTTTGTCATACTAAGGCAGAAATAATCCTGTAAAGGTTAAAGAGATTTTAGATGTGGCTAATTTTCAAATCAGACATTGATGGAATCTAGCTTTGAAACAAAGAAAGAGATCTGGAGCTCCCACATATTGATAAAATTATAGAGATCAACATTTATGTTTCTTTGCTTTATGAAATTTCATTCACTGGAAAAAAATATCTGTTTTGCTTTAGTGCCAAGAGCTGCTTTAGACTCTGATGATAGAGTCAGAAAGAAGACATGTTCTTCATGGCTTATCTGGAGGTGTGGTACAGTTTGAACCTAAATGCTATCAAAGACCATGTGTTGAAGGCTTGTTCACCAGCCAATTGCAAGCTTCGGAACCATTGGAGGTGAAGCCTGAGAAAGGGAGTATGATCACTGCAAGCATGACTTTGTAGAGGATATTGGGACCCTAGTTCCTGTCTCTCTCTCTCTCTCTTTCTGCTTCCTGGTTGCCATGAAGAATAACTTCTCCATTATACACTCTCTGCCATAATATTTTGCCCCCTCAAAAACCTAAAAACAACTGAGCCCACCAATCAAGGATTGAAACCTCTGAAACTTAGAGCCAAGAAAATCTTAGAAGTTGATTAATTCAGGTATTTTGTCACAGCAGTAGAAAGCTAACTAACACAGGAAGGAGAAAATGAATGAGTGAATTAATGTATCCTTTTAAGTAATGAAAAAATGAATGCCAAAAAATAAACAAAAAGAATAAATGGACAGAGAATGATGTAGGATGTAAAATACCTAAGATACGAAATGGAATATTTAAGGAACAAAAAGGAATACCTATGTATTGAGAGAATTATTCTTCAGTATGCCATGAACATAATTATTAAATCATTGTTTGAATGTCAAGGTTGATTATATTCTTATTTTTAACTTCTTATACTAATTAGATCTTAATTCCTTCCAGAGTTTTGCAAGTTGAACACTAACCCCCTGTCTTCCGTTATTGTAGGGGGTAGATTTTTCAGGAACCAACAAATGCAACCTTCCTGTCTTACCTTTTAGGTAGCAACTTACTCTTTTCTTTCTTTGCAATCTCTTCTTCAGCAAGGTTCTGACAGATGGTTCAATACACATTCTTTGCTTCACTCTTCTGCTCACCTCATCTCTTTCTGCCCATCAGTCCCTGCAGTTTTCTCTCCATCACCAGAAATGCCCTTCTAACTCTGTCATCTCTAGTAGTCTGCATTCAAAGTTTTCTATGTTTAGGCTCCAAATGCCATTTCCAGACTCATCTTCTGTTGCAGACTTTTATGTGGCTTATGAATGAGCTGCACTGCTGCACTTGACATTTCTCAGATCACCTTACACTTTCAGAGCTCCAAGCTTGTGCTCATGCTGTTTTCTCCTTTCAATTTTTTTTTTTGTATGGTGCCATAATTTTGGGGGCTCTTTTGCTGACTCAGTCAGTATTAATCACAATATTACACATAGTGGGGGGATAAAAATGTATAAATTTTTCAGGAGCTTCTAAGTTCCAGAAGGCCAGGAACTGTTCCTATTCAACCTCAAATACCCTGGTTACCAACAGCAGCTTGATAGGGCAGACATTTAAGTATTACCTAGCCCACTTTCATAGGCTAAACTTGCACTGTTCCAATACAAAGCCAATTTTCCAGTTTATGTCAACCCTTCACAAATTTCCCCAGTGTGATTTTAAGCCATGACTCCATATTTCGGTTTTCAGAATAAAAATCCCATCTCTCTGGCTTAGTCTCGCAATGCAATCTCCTGCACCTCTAGCTCTGGTGGCTGCCTATCTTTGAAGGTTGTCTACACATTTACTCCCATTCAGGTTTCATTCCAATTCTACCAAACCACCGAATTTTTCCTCAAATGTCCAACCTTTCTTTTTTTCATGCCTGAGCTCATACTTTTTCCTATTTCTGTAATGCTTTTCTCTTTTTATTTCTACTAAGTAGCACTTGTCCTTTAGGCACAAGTATCAGAGCCTCTCTGAAGCCCCTTGAGAACCTGGGGACATCTGAGGCTACCTTTGCTCACCTCCATGATCTCTGCTCTAGTGTATAAGTGGTTTGATTGTGTGTATCTCCCACTAGACAGTTATCAGCAATGGTGTTTTATTCCTTATATCTGGGCTCTCAAACTTCAGGCTCCATCTGATTCACTGGAGGGATTTTTTAAAACAGGTTGCTGGACCCCCCACCCCATTCCTCAAAATTTCTGAGTTGATAGCACAAGTTAATAGTGGCATGAAAAATCACATATTTGACCCATTTCTAGCTGATGTTGATACTGTTACTCTGAGGACCACATCATGGTGACTGAGAGCCGTTACGATAAATTCTGTGGTCAGCGTATTTCCTGAATATAGTAAGGGGCTTGATAAAAGTTTTTTTTTAATGGGAAAAAAAAATTAAAAAAAAAAAGAAAGTCAATGTGGCATATTTGTACATGCACATAACAATGAATTTCAATTAATAAAAGTTTTTAATAATAAAAAATGCATGCCTACCACTTTAAAATAAATATAAACCATCCAAGTTGGCTTTTAATTATATCATCTTCATCGAAGACACTAACACAATGGAGGTTTATTTGAAAAATAGCTCATTATTTAATCCAATGAGTACAGTGCATCCACTGTTCCCAAGCCTGGATGAGCATCAAATAAACCCAGTTAATTTTAGGATATGGGCACTGGGCCACACACAAGAGCAGACTAACCAGATTCCCAATTGGAGTGTATGGACTTTCCAGGTGATGTTTTTAGGTAGCTTGGCAAAACCCTTGGTAGACACAAGCAACCTTAAATAATTTGTACTTTATTCATGTTAATTTATTAAACAGCTATTTTATCTGATAAGTATTTAAACAAGCCTTTAGTCAATAGTGGCACATAAAACAAAATACAGAAAGGATGACATAGAATTTCAGTACTGACTGTATAAGCTACAGGAGTCTCTTGAGGTATTCAAGAATGATGGCTCTTAGTTTTAAACATCACTAAAAGCCTCTGCAAAGGGAGGAAGGAAAAGGGAGGAAGAGCTGAAAGCACCATTTATGTGCCACTATAACTCTTCTTGAAATACTTCTCGAATGCTTATCATGCTCTCCACACAGGTCATTTTAATTTCTTCAACTGTAGCCATAAAATGGAGAGGTGCCCCTCCGAATAAGTTGCACCACTGGTGTGTCACCAAGCAGAATGAGTCATGCTGGAGCCTCTGACAGGACAGCAGCCTGGGCTCCAGCCTCTCCAGATGGTGCTTTTTCTTGAATATTGCTAGCTTGTCAGTAGACTACAAATTGGTTAAGATTAGACACATCAGTTATAAAAAAGTGAGCCTTCTCAGTCTTCTACAAGAATGACAAACTATACCTTAGAGGAGGGACCCATAAATTGCTTTTTTAAAAATTTAGATCATGCTTTTACTTCTTAACACAAAGGAACATTAGTGGAATTTTTTTTTAAATCCAGGCTCATTAATTCAATCATCACTGGCATTCAACAAACATTTTTTGAGAGCATATGCTATGCCAGGATGTGGTTTTATCCTTGAAGATGAAATTCTATGATAGTAGGGATGGAGTGCTGCTGCTGTTCAGATCTATGGGGGTCAAATACTTCAAAATCAGCTAAGGTTGGTTTGTCTCTGTGAAGAAAGTTGTTTACCAAACACAGGATTGTGCCATCCTATGTACTGAATTTAGTTGTAGGGAAAGTGATTAATCATGTTAAGAGAAAGAAGAAATTTTTAAAAATAAAAAGAAAGAAAACAATGGAAGAATCTGTTTTAGTTCTAGAACAAGGCACATTTTGAGAAAGCCTCTGCAAAAGGGCTGCCTAAAATTTCTAGATCTCTTTGAGAGAAAGGTGGGGAAATAACCCAGAATTGATCTGCTCCTGTCAGTCCCTTTAAAAGTATCATTTGCATGGAACACAGTGCAAATAAAAAGGGAATCCAGGATTTTCTCCAGCTCTGGTTTCTCAGTGAGCTATTGCTCATGTGCACAGATTCCGTTGAAAATGTAGAGACTTCTATGATTTTTGGCAGCCAGATCTTTGAATCAAATTTGTGGGTTATGTTGGTGAACTGCAACATCATATGGCATTGGGATTTGAAAATACTCTAGGTATGCTCTAATATAATGCACTCATGGAAGAGTAAGAGATCTGATGCTCAGAGATATAAATTGACTGGTACAATCTTACAGTTAGTGGCACTCATTATTGAGATCCAAGTCCCCTAACTCCCAGGAAAGAGCTTCTTCACTGTATCATACTGTCTTTAAAAACATTTTCCATAGCCTAAGTTATCTGAATTTTAATTGATTCAATGGAAAATAGTCATTAAGGACTCTCTCTTTTTCTTTCCAACACATACATACATACACACACACACACACACACACACACTGAGAGAGAGAGAGAGAGAGAGAGAGAGAGAGAGAGAGATGATCATTTTCTGTTCTGCTTAGTAGTCTCTGTTCAGAGTTGTCATTCTTGATGGTCGTAAATGTGTATCAACTTGACTGTTCCACCCTACTCCCAATCCCCGAGAGTCTATTGAAAGCGCCTAACACTCACCTCTAAAGCAGTCATGATTTTTTGGTTGGCAGCAGATAAGCGATTCGCTTCTCTGGTTTTATTTGTGGCTTCTCTCAGCAGGTCCCAAGCATCATCAACTTTGTTCTTGTGGTCAGCCAGTTTCTCCCTGAGATCCTTCTCCAATTGTTCATTTTTGCCTCTGGACTCTCCAAATAGCTTGTTTACTTTCTTCAAAAGGCCTTCTGCAGCTCTGTAACCACCCAGCCCAAGCACAGACAATAATGTCACTGCCTCAGGACTTATTGGTATTAAACTGTGTTAACCAAGAGACGCTAATATTAAAAAGCGTGAAACAAAAGCATGTGAGGCAGATTCAGTCTGTACTAAATCCAGTTGAAATCTGGCCCCTGAAAGTGGCACATAGTTTATAATTTAAAACAGAAAGAAAAAAATCCCAACCTCGAAATTCATTAGTAAGATATTATTTTTATTTGGTGGGGTCCTCATGTAATTCACAGAACATGACTGATGAAATGAGTTCTATGATTTACTTCACATAACAGCAACAAAAAACCCCACCCCTGTCACCAAAATGGGACATTTTCTCTATAACGGGAATATACTGGATGAATATTGACATATTTGCTTAGAAACTATGAACAGAACTCGATTTTTGTTATGCCAATGTAATGTTATGATTTCAACCTACATTTCTTTTCCTTTCAACTGAGTGATCTGGGAATTGCTTGGGTTTGACTTACATGAATTTCCTGAACTAATCATGTATTTGGATGGTCTGGCTAAGACACAATTTTATTTATCCAAAAGTATTCTTATTAAAACAAAAATTTATTGATAGTTTAAAAGCCCCTAATATAGGCTATTAATAAAGAAAATCCATTAATCTAATTATAAAAAGGACAATACCAGGAAAAATCATTTATTTGATTATTTATAAAAATAGAAAAAAATGCTTTTAATTCACTTTAGAGCAAAGTAAGTATAACCTTAGTAACTAAATGAAAAATAAATAAACAGCAAACATTTCCAGGTCAAAATAAAATTATCTTCTGCTTAAATGTGTGATAGAAATTTAGAAATCTATAAATAATTTTAAAAGCTCAGTTTATCAAATGAAGAAATAGAGGAACTACTCACACCAACTCATCTTCTGCAACTTCCTTTTGTTTATCCAGATTTTTCCTCCTCAGCTCTTTCATCATCTGATCTATCTCTTTCTGAAGCTCTTGTAAATTTCTCTCAGGGGCCTTGTCTTGAGTTCCTAGAGTTTCATTTAGTTTTATGGCTTTTTCATTTACAGCTGCAGGGGGTAAAACAAATTTTGCAAATTAGTAAACAAAAGTGTCACAAGCAAAAGTGGCATTCAACATCTGCTCCTTACCACCACCTCCAAGTGGAAAGTAATTTGCCAGAGGTGTTCCTGCTGGGAAAGAGAGAGGCAGTTGTGTAACAATCACCAACAAAGAGGGAAATGTGACATAATTCTCCATATTAGATTTCTTTTAGGGGACACAGGAATTAAAACAGTTTCAAAACTCAAAAGGAAAGAATACTAACAAAGCAGTGGGTCAAATTCTCTTCCAAGAAAAAGTAAAAAATGAGATGTGCAGACTAGTTCTAGGAAGTGAAAACAAGAGATCTTCCTATTGCTGATAAAACCATCATATTTAGTCTGTTTTAAAATACTGAATATAGAAATACTGTAAGTAATGAGATTTCTGAACATGAACTTGCCCTTGAGTTTCCACAAGTACTCTTGTATTCGTTGTTAGAAAGGAGTGAGGGAAGGAGCACTGGTCCTGGGACAAGGGTATAGATTAGACCTTGAAGATGCCTTCCAGCAGTGACATCCATCCTAGCAGTCCATGTTTATTATGCATTAAATGGAGCTTCAAGCTGTATTTGTTGGAATATTAGGATTCTCCAGGTACTTCAGGTATTCTACAAATAATATCTATTCTGCCAAGAATCTGTTTTATAAGTTGGTGTTCTGGGCAAAATTTCATTTGGAAAAAGAATTCTTTGTCAAATAAAAGTTTAAAGAATTGGTGAATTGAAACATTTTACAGAGTTCTAACCATTAATTTTAGACTAAAGTTGCTTGAAAAGTGTTCTATTGAACATTAATTTGGTGAGCTGAAGGGAGATATTTTCTGAACTCTTTGTCTGCTGAACAGGTATTTCTACAATATTATATATGAAAAGCCATAGAATGGGGGGGTCTGGGCTGGCATATATATATGTGTATATATATACATATATATATATTTCCAAGATGGTACCTGAAGATGTCTTTAAACATAATAAATCCTGAGCATTTCAGTTTTGGAGAGATTTTTTCTGATTTATACTGGTCAAAGCTCCTGAGCAGATGCACATAGACAGGAAAGTATACTAGCCAGAATGGGTGGTGAAACGATGGGTTAGTTAGTATAGTGGATCTGAAATGTTGTTCCCCCATTGAGTAGCAGCAGCATCACATTGGTACTTGTTAGACATGCATCTTCTCAGGCCTTCCATGGGCCTATTGAAATAGAAATTCTGGGAGTAGGGGACCAGTAATCTGGTGTTTTTTTAACAAGTCCTAAAGGAGCTTCGGACACATGCTGGAGTGCAAGGAGTACTGGGTTAGTAGAAGAAATGGAGTTTCTTTTGTTTGTTTGTTTGTTTTGTTTTAATTAGTTTCAATCTCTAATCTATCCTTTCCCAAATGCACCTTTGTAATTTCCTTTTCATATTAATGTCTTTGGTAAGAAAATTGCTGCAGTCAACACCTTATTCCTATAGCCATTGCTATAGACATAAGGTTTATGGGTTTTAAAATTTTTTTTTTTGAAATTCTTAGGTTGAAACCATTTCTGTTGTGATGGTAGATAAAGGTAAGACCTTTGAGAGTTGATTGGATCATGAGGGCAGGAAGCGGGTTGTGACCTCAAACAATGGTTGCAGAGGACTCCCTTGACCCTGCCACCATGTGAGGTATAACAAGAAACTGCCCTTGGCACATAAGAAAGGGGCTCCTCCCCAGACACTAGCTACGCCAGTGCCTTAATTTTGGATGTATCAGCATTCTGAAAGATGAAAAAGATATTTAATTTGCTTTTAAGCCCACAAGTCTGTGATATATTTGTTCAAATGGTCAGAACATACTTAGATAGCAATAGATTAATTTGCAGAAAAATTTGAATCGTGTGTTTTAAAGAATACTCCTAGGAACCACCCCTAGCCCTGTGGAAGAAATCCTTGCTCAGGTGCTATATTCCTAGAAGTTAGT